GTTGCTAGGAGTTAAAAACAACTTGATGGCTCTCACTCACTCACTCAATCAAACAATTCTTAAACATTACTTTATTCAAACATGTTTTCTTCCATGTCTCATGTTCTATGTACAGTGAAAGCATTTCCTCCATCTTGAATATTATAGTATTCTCCATAGAATCATGGGGTTGGAAGGGGGCTTGAATATCTTTAATTTTCGTACCATCCTATACAAATAGCTATCCAGCCTTTGTTTGAATATCTCCAGTGATGGAGCATCCATGAGTTCAGAAGACAGGCTGTTCCACAGTCAGGACATTCCTCCTTATTTCAGATTTGAACCTCCCTCTATAAAACTTCCACCCATTAATTGCATAAAGCAGATTCACATAAAATGAGGAAAACTCATATTTTTTTTCAGGCCATGGTAGTTATTAGATATGCAGAAGACATATCTGCAGTCTATGTGCAACTATGAATTGCTGCTTCCTTTTTTATTTCTGAAGGGACTATTACAATTTAGAATGAACTAACTATATACAAACTTTAATAATATAGAACTGCTCAATACCTATATACACACATACTGTATAAAGGATATCCTGCTGTCCAAAATGATAGAGTTTAGACACAAGTCTCTTACCTTCGCTATTTATAAGAAATAGCTTTCATCTATCCTGTACTCTGCAGAGCATAAGTCTTTAAACTATTATACACATTTTTTTGATGTCACAGCCTTTCAAAATAAATTAGGCTGTAAATTTGCTCAATATTGGTGTTTCATGCAATATTTGAAGTGGATCACAAATCTGCAACATAAAAAGCTGCCAAATATGAAGTGCAAAAATACACATGGGCTCTAGATGACAGAGTTTTCTGTATGTCTTTGCTGCTGTCTACTGGTGGTCTGGATTTTTGCAGCCCAGGTCTGGTAGTCCTAATTCATGTTGGTTGACTCACAATTGGAGAATGGTGATGGAAGAAGTCTGAAAAACAACAGAATGTTTTGGAGATAGTTGGCTATCAAATTATTGGAAGACAGCCTAGCTAAAAAGATTAAACATCAAAGCAAATTTAGGAAGAGTTTTACCCTGAATAATACAGACTAGTGAGAGCACAGTTTATTTTTAATAACAAAGCTCTCGTTTATTTCATTTAACAACACTGATCCTTCTAGATGTGATGCGTTTAATCCTATTTATTTTAATAGCTCTATTCTAAGCGTGAATAGAATTTCCAAAATTCATTCCTCCTTTTAAACAGATATGACTGTCAGCAGCAACAACAACAAAAAGATGTTCAAAGCAACTTAAACACTAAATGACATTTGACTACAAGATTTCTGAAGTTCCCTTAGTATGTATACTTGAAACCATTATCAAAGCAGTAGTGATTTCAGACTAATTTACTGAAGGCCAAAACAATCTGAAAGTCAATCTGATTAGGTAGTTATGTAATATTTAGGGATAGTAATTTATTTATTTTTGAACTGCAGAAAAAAATATCCTGCATTTAGGGAGTGAAGAGTTCTTAATTTAAAATATTTTATCTGTTATTTAGATAAGAGGTTCACAACATTTGTACCCTAAACTTACACACTAAAGCTATATTACACATGAAAAAGGAATGAGGGAGATAGGAGGAAAACATTAAGCACTGAGTTTGAAAAGTCCAGTAATGGTTCCTACAATGATCAGCTGAAAACTGTTCAGAGAAAAGAGAAATCTATAGAGCCACAGTGATTGTGGGTGTTTGTATGTGTGTACATTGTAAGAACTCATAGAAGGACCTTGCTTCCTATCAGCCTGCTGCAATGTAATAGAATAGCTACTGCCAAGTGACAGATGGAGGTGGAGACTCGGGAACTGGATTTTCCGAAGAGCTGATAGCATAAGATTAAATCAATGATTTCTTGTGATTTTGTGACCTGGTTGTGATACTAGAATAAAACTCCAAGCATTCCATTATGAAAGGAGGAAATGTAGGACAGTCAAAACAATTTCTAGTGTTTTGGCTAGTAATGGAATTATTCCTTACAGTGACCAAGACTCCCATATGATCCTACCTGGAATGGATAGCAAATATTTGTATATATCATTGTTTCCATGTAGAATTTCTAAACATGATCGCAGTAGTGTACTGTTTTTATTACAAACATTATTCATAGTCCATTTTGAAGGAAGCTCATTTGCAAGTCTAAGAAGGATGGGAATTTCTTTCTGCACTATTCCCTATGCCTGGGTTGCTTATGGCATCATTGTTAGAGATCAACAGAAACTGGACTTCTCTCCATGTACACTGTACATTTCTTAGCCTCCTCCTTTTACTTTGGGGGTTGGGAGATTAATATTCTTTGCTCTCTCGCAAACTGTGTGAATGCCAACTCCAGTTTTTCAAATGTAAAGGGTATGTATCCAGCAATGAAGTGAACACTGAATTGCCTGACTTTTACTAACTAAATTGCCCCACCATGCTGAGAAGGACTCCCTCCATGCTTCTCTTTTTCAAAATGTTGCATTTCTATGCTTATTCATACCTACAGAGAAAAAGAGGACATTTGGAAGTTAGTCCCCTGTAACAAAGCTATTGCCTTCATGCCTACTGCATATGCATATGCAAATGTGCATCGTGGGCTTCTCTGTATCAAAGCATGGATGTTTGAAGAGCACTGACAGATTTGGTGAATGAGTTGTTCATAGTTTATGTGCTTTCCTGGTTTTTAATCCTTCTAATCAGTCTTCATGATTTCACCCGATCCTCATCCAACTCTCAACCCTTTTTCTAAATTCCTTCCCCTGCCATTACAATACATTCAGTTACATCATGGCCTAAATGTCAAATTTCCTTTGGGAGAGGGTTCTGCAGTATGACAAGGGGCAAAGACAAGTTTTTGTTCAATTCATTGTTAGATCTTTTATCCTGTAGGCCTTTTTAACATTGCCTGATTGCCTCATCAACAGAATGGAAAGGCAGCTATTTCTGGAGGGCAGAAATGGATGATATTTGCCCTCTATTAATCCCCCACTTATTTTCAAGAGGTGTTGGGTGTATTTTTCTGCTTCACTTCTGACATACAATGTTTCTTGTTATGTTGCTCCTGTCTGTTTGGGACAGTGTGCTTCAGTTTGTTGCAGGCTAAACCAGTAGTATTGGCTACTTTGCAGAAGATGGGATGTTCTTCAACTGAGTCAATTTTTATCATGTAGTCTAATAGTTTCCACACTTCCTTTTACAACAGTGCTGAGATACCACATGGGCTATGATCTTTACTTGGCATATAGGAGATTGCCAGTTCAAAATGTGGCAAAGATACAGAAGTGTGTACACACATACACAGACAAAACTGTTCTCTTCCTAAGCTAGTAGATTTCTCCCTTGGCCTTCTTTTTTTAATACACTAAGTCCAGCCCAAACTGTTTAGAACAGTAGGTCTGTTTTATTCTTGCCAATCATCTGAACTAGATGGGTTTACTATAAATTTAACTTAACTCTTTCTGTGTGAGAGTGTTTGTATATATACATGCATATAAAAGTATATATGTCCAGGAACCCCACCCACAGGAGGGAAAATGATTGGCAATTGCTCTTCTGGAGCAGAAAGATGGGAGGATACAGCAGCAGGGAATTGTCCAATGGGAGGATGTGGTAGCCCGCAGTCTTGACTGAGTACCTTGCAAATTGTTGCCAATGTGTCTCAGAATGAACTGGATTTTTTCTTAAACTGACTTAAAGCCAAGCTATCCTGAGCACAGGACAGGAAAAGCTTAAATGGTAAGTGCAGATATGCTGTAAAACAGGGTTTTTCAAACTTTTTCAAGCTGCAGAACCTGTTATTTTAAAAAATATATATCCTGGAACCCCTGATCAAGAGGCAAAGCTCTGGATAGAAAACGGACTATGTTTGAGGGAACTTTTTTTTTTTTTTTTTAGTCTCTCATACGACCTCATCAAGTTCTTACAGAAAGCTAGGGTTCCACAGATACAGTTTGAAAAACCTTGCCATAAAACAAAGATGGCCAAGAAGATCTTCATACTGCTATAAGATCTATTATAGATCAATCCAGGAACTTGAGTTGTCCTAGAAGCTAAAAGACAGGTAATGCCATTTTCCTAATGCAGTTCCTAATTATGCTTGTCAAGTTTGGGCAATAAATGCCTCCTGCATTCTGCAAAACAATACACATTTTAGAACACATTTTAGAGATATCCTCCATACAGAGTTGGTCAGTATGTAGACTCCAGATGTAGTTTAACTTCATCACACTTTATCCCTCATCACTGGACCTGGTGGCTAGAGCACATGGGAGGTGGAACACATTGCCCAGCTCTGTTCTACAACAAACAGTCCTGCACAATACCAAAAAAAAAGAAAAGAAAAGAAAAACAAGTAATGGTAATTGCTATTAAGCCCCTATATTTACTGGGGGCAGATTATCAAATGCATTATTGAGTTTATTGCCCCTTTGATTTTCCAGTTGAAAACAAAACCCTCTTCTTTCTGACCCTATGCTTCTTGCTGAACCAAAAATACACACACACACACACACACACACACACACACACACATCTGCTGGTGCTCTTTCTTTGTTGAGAACTAGAAGCTATGCCAGAGTGACACATCTTGAGTGCACTTGTAGATGCAGCAAGTTAATGTCTTCATATTTTTGGAAATTCACAGGAATGTGGTTAGCAATTATATGGTGAGTACTTCACTAATAATAACTCTGCTTCCTCAGTGCTTATCCATCTGTTACAGTGCAAGAGCTTTTCATACACAAAAGGCTCAAAGGAGACATCACAGAAGATAAAATCAGAAGGCGGTGTTGTTCTAAAAGACCTTCCAGACTAAAACATCACAGAGTTTAACTGTTCAAGAGCATGTCAATGGCAACTTGTATCTTTGGGTTATGTTTTGTTAAGGTGGTTAAGCCTTTTCCTGACACATAAAGCTCTGAGAACCTACTCTTTTCTAAATTACTCTGTGTAAATGCTGTTCCTCTTATATTTGTCTTTTTGCAGAATATGGAGATGAACCTAAATATCCATCCAGATGGCTCTTACAGTAATAATTTGGCTTTTCTAATAAGAATGGCTCTGGGATTTTGAGAGTTCCATGTAGGAAATGACTCTGTTAACTCCTATTATGAGCAAGTGCATTTCAAGAAACCTTTTGGCTTTGTGCATACGTGGCTGGTCTGAAAGTCATCAGATGGGGCCAGTGTCAGGATAATGGCTGCGAGGGACAGAAGTCTTGGTCTATCTCTCATCTTTGTCAGATTTACAAATGTGCATTGATAATCACTTGCAATTTTTAAACAAAAATCTACTAAAAAACTTGCATTTTAATACATATTGAAATATATAAACTTGAATGTATTTTCTCATTAAATGTTTATATCTAAATATATTTTCTCTCCAAGTACACATCTCTAAATATATGGGTACACTTCAAAGTACAGGTAGTCCCCAGTTTAAGAACAAGTTCTTTCCCAAGGTCCATCCTTAAGTCAAATTTATATGTAAGCCAAAACAGTATTATTGTGTAATACTGTATAAGTAGTATTGTGTAATTAACTCAAACC